AAATAATTATATATATATATATATTGCATCACAGCTTGAATTTGGGTACACACTTTCACTGAGAATGCTAAGCTATCAGTCTCATGACTGATTGAAAGGGGGTGATTCCTCAATGTAATTCTTCAACAAATGTAAAATGATTCCATTTGTTTTAGGCCAATCTTCGTAGGCTCTTGGATCACGTTCACAACAACAACGTGGAAAAAATTACAAAGATGTGCTCCAGAGGTTTGGATCCCAACTTCCATTGTCAAGAAACGGGAGGTAACAATTTTGTTTTCTTCTCTAAACATTTATATTCTTAATTTAGGTTGAAAAATCATCCCAATCCGTTATCTATTATTTTTATTTTATAAATTATCTTTGAGATGGAAATGATAAAAAGATTTTGTTTTCCATTTTGTTTGATAAAATCTACCAGAAAAAAATCCTTTTTGTTTTATGTTTGCAATTAATCCATTTACTAATGTTGCTCGGGGTCGGGTAGCCTGGTTAGTAGGATGCTAGACTCGTGTTGGTGAGAACGGGTGTTCAAATCTAGCCGGTTAAATAATTCGTATGTATTAAATGGTGAGAGGTGCACGTTGAATCTGTCGTGGTCATGGAGTCCGAGTTTTCATAACAAATCAATACCTTTGGGGATATCTCCGGATGGAGGAAAGAATGAGACCTCCATGTGATGGTTGTGTATACCAAAATTGCAATTTTGGCCATAGATGTCGCCACTGAAAAACAAGAAGCACAACCTTTGCCTTAAAAATTCTCCGGATTTCGAACAGACTTGCTGATATTGGCAAGTTGCATTTGTAACAACAGCAACATAACGCTAATGTTATGACTGCATACTTATAAGCAAATTACTCAGTTTTAAAAAGATGAAACAATGCTAATATTTTGTAAATAATTTTTTTCGGTCACTTACACTTCCTCCAATTTTCATTAAAGTATATTTAGTGCATTTTTTATTTATCGAAAGACTTTTATATTTAGTCTTGTACATTTAGTAAAGTATAGTTTGTGTATATAATGTAGATTTTAAATGTTAGTTCATTAGCTTGATTTTTTTAATTTTATTTTGAAAACTATTTGTTACGGGCGTAAACAGTCAGTTTTTAATTATTAAAAAAAAAACTTATGAATTTGTACATATTAAGTAAAATTTGAGTAAGTGTTAATAACAAAGTTATCTTAGCAAACATTATTAAAACTTGCTTGATTTCTTTTAAGCTAAGTTAAATGCTTTTAAGATTTGCAAATGACAATCCTAAAATGATGCAACTTACACATTTCTTCCACTCTATTTCCTTTCCTATTAAATTTTTAAAAAAAATGTCCATAAATATTTTATAGTCGAATAATTTCTGAGTTCTCACGTATTTTTAAAATTTGTATGTATTTTTAAGATGATGCATGTCGTATCACGTGTCGTATTTTTAAAATTTGATTTCTCGACAATTATTCGATTGATTTTGCGATTTTCCAATCCAAATTTTGCGTTTTGTCATTCGAAAGTACATTATTTAAAATAACATATAAATACCGAATAGTTCAAAAATATTACGACTATTACCAAATAAATTAATTAAAAAAATAATTATTGCACAATCATTTTTCGATTTATTCAAAATACTTTCGAGGTATGGAGAAATATGCAATCAATAATTAACATTAAGGCCTCTAACTTTCTTTTTCATTTTTTTATAATAAAATAATCACAAGAACCAAAATGGTTATTAGCAGAAAAGTAGCATTGGTAAAAAAATCATGCCACTCAAACCAAAAAATAAAAATTTTAAGCTATTTTCTGAAGTTGTGTTTCTTAGTATCAACTTGAAATGAAAGTGTTAAATTTCAAATCTAATCAAATATAAACTTTAAATTAGCACGATATTAGTTCACTCACAAACTGAATAGATTTATAAAATATTAAAATTTTTTTTTTTGGAGAGTTAGTCTTAAATTGAATTTTACTTTCTGCAAGTAACTGAAACATTTAATGCAAATAATATTAAAATGTATTTAACTTTTTAGCATATTGAAAATACGAAAAAAAATGTGCAAATATTTTAATCTTATTTTTGAGAAATGCAGAAAAAGAGACTGCTAAGGGTGTTTATTACTTAACACTCTCTACAATAGCTATCAATATTAAAGCCCTGGATACTTAGATAAAGTATAGTTTGTTCAACAGGAGTTGGGACTTGGCTCCGCCTTCATCACGTGGTATGCGACGATACTATTTCCCTATTTTTGGGAGAAAGTTGTGAGCAATCCTGAAGAAGGCTGCTATTTGGCGATCGTATCGCAAAAATATTTATTTCGTAAACTTTATCTGCATTTTTTTAACATTAAATATTTCATAAATTTGATGATATGTCACTCCATTTCTTATGATATTTCTTTCTTTTGAGTGAATAGTTTGTTCTTTTGGAGACATTTTGGTAGGAAAACAGCTGTTTTTAAATTTAAAATATATTTAATTAGCTAGAGAAACGAAAGGTATAATAGCAGATGATAAAGCGAAATAAGTGACAGAATAAGAAGTCACTGTTTGTGGTTGGCGCAGTAAGGGTTGTCTCAATTTCAAGAGCGGAGATGTTTCTCTTCTTACTCCCCCGCGCTGAAATGAACTCTGCGTCCGAGGAGGTGGAGCCAAGTGCCAACTCCTGGTGAACGGACTATAGAGATATACCGCTATCTTTTTGACTGTAACTCTCTTGAGACCGCAACTTGCAATATGGATATACTGAGTTCCCTATCTTAAACTTTTTATTGATTAATATTTTCATATTCTTAAAGATAACTTAAATAGTTAATCTTTTTTCTTTTAATTCTTTTTTTTTCCTTCTGAAATTATATATTTTGTTTTATATTCCATTCAGGGAAAATAATGCCTTATCTATATATTAAAACTTTCCCATTTCGCCTTTCATAATATGCTATAACTTTTTTCTTCTAAACTCTTTGAAATTGTTGGCAGTCGTTTCTTATGAAGTTCAAATGGTTAAATATAGTTAAATGTAATTAAAATAAAATCCTTTTTTTAGATACTTTAAAACTAGGGCATGTGATAAAACCAATAATTTGCAAATGTGAGCTTTGACACATTTAATAGCAAAAAAGATGTATTCCAGTTTTTGGAGAATTCTTGTTCAAATTCTGAATATTAAGCATAACAAATTTATTTTGCACTGCAACATTTTTCAAAATTTTACTATGATGTATGAAATACTTAAAATCATAAAAAATATCGAAACTAAGAGTTCAAATGGGAATTATACCATCTTTTTGCGACGTATAAATTTTAAATTTATTTATTTGAAAAATATTTAATATGTTACACATGCTTAGCTTTAATTCTGTCAACAAAACAAATATTTAAATGATATTAAATTTTTTTTAAGATTTCTAACGAAAGAAAATATTTAAGTTAAAAAAAATATTGGTAGTCTATTTTCATTTCTTTCGGGTGAATATATTTAATGCAATTGAATTTGTTAAACTTCTAATTGAAAAAAAAAGAGGAACATATTTGTTCTACAAAGTTAATAAATAATATCATGCAAAATTAGTAACAAATGAATAAATAAATTAATTTCAAACTTACACTATTACTTATACAATCTGCTCTTATCGTTTGGATTCTATTTATCTCTACCAATTATGTGCAGCCATATTTTTTGTCTTTTTTTTATTCCAAACTCCAACAGGTAAATGATATAATTTGAAACCTACATATGTTTTATTTGAACACCCAAATACGCAACAACCAGACATTCTAAATTTAAATGTATAAAACAATAAAAGTTAAAAGTAAAAGCGAAAATGAAAATAATAGCTAGATCGCAATCATACTTTGCCCGCTCAAGTCAGTCAACAAAATGTCGCCAGTTTACCCATGTGATCTGCAGCAGCCAATTAAAATCGAAAGCGGCACTAAGGTCGGAAGGAAAAGAGTGGCGTTACTTTATCTAAGTATCTGGGGCTTTAATAAATAGGACAGAAGTTTTGTAGCATCTTCGAAATATAATAATAGTGATTATCATGATCACTGTTTTATATAAGAAATCAATAAAATAAACAGAATGATGAACAATTTCTAAATCATTATATTTTCAAACAATCCTGAGAAGACAAATATAAAAGTATTCTTGATATCTGTCTTTATATTTGTGGGAATCTTACATGTGGACCTGAGAAACGCGATAAAAAATTGTCTCGTAATCGATAATACTTCTTTGCCAGCCTAGAGAAAAAGGTTTTGGGAAAACAGAGAAGACCTAGAGAAAAGCTAAATAATATAGAAAAACAGAGAACTTGTATTAAATATCAAGTGGCATAAAAATACCAATTTGTACAGAATTGTATAAGATGATTTATATATGTATGTAATGGTGCCTTATGTAGGATTTCACAATGAATGTTTAATCTCACATTAAAATGTTCAACACACAAAATAAAAATACAAGAAAAAAAGAAAGGATGAGTCCAATATTTTTTTGATTTAAATCACTGATGAATTCTCTGTTGGTTTGAGAAGTCAAATGTTTTAATTTTGTTATGCTTACTTACAGTGATTCCTTACCATATTGGCACAAGTCCTTCAGTTTGTTGTCCTGAGAAGTCAAATGTTTTAACTTTGTTATGCTTACTTACAGTGATTCCTTACCATATTGACGCAAGTCCTTCAGTTTGTTGTCCTGAGAAGTCAAATGTTTTAATTTGTTTATACTTACTCACAGTGATTCTAGACTATATTCACACAAGTCCTCCAATTTGCTGGTTTGTGAAGTCAAATAATTTTATTTTTTTATGCTTACTCACAGTAATTAAGCACCATATTGACGCAAGTCCTTCAGTTTGTTGGTTTGAGAAGTCAAATGTTTTAATTTGTTTATGCTTACTCACAGTGATTCGATCATTACCATTTGACACAAGTCCTTCAATTTGTTGGTTTGAGAAGTCAAATGTTTTAATTTGTTTATGCTTACTCACAGTGATTCATTAGCATATTGACAAAAGTCCTCCAATTTGCTGCTTTGTGAAGTCAAATATTTTAATTTTTTTTATGCGCAGCCTATTTTGTTTTTGAATACTTAACATATATCTTCGAAAATATAGATGTTTTTTTTTTAAAAACTAGTTATCTAATTTAAATATTTTAGCTGTAAGTCTCATACTGTGATCTAATACTCTAAATTATTATGCTAAATCTGTAAAAAAGAATTACATATACATTACGAAATTTTTTATATGGTTTATATTTATTGCAGAAACACCTCTGACCCTGGCTTCATCCCTTAAACATCCTGCAAAAGTGATTATGTCTTTGGTGAATGGTGGTGCTCATTTGGATTTCAGGACAAAGGATGGTGCAACAGTTTTGCATAAAGCCGTTGAGAAAAATAATATAGAAGCCCTTAGGGTAAGCCTGACTTTGTATATAAAGTGTTCGCTAGCTTATTTTGTATCTGGATCACGCTTGTCTCCTTTCAAAGTCCTCCATATTATAATTTAAACAAGCCTTTTCGAATACAGCGGCCCATGATCAAACAGATGTAATCTCAATTTGGTACTCTAGCATTGTATCTCGCTAGTATATATACTCTCAGTGCGTGCAGGCCTTGGAAAGATCTTCTTTCTCCTTTCACCAGTTCTGAATGGATTTCATCCCTATGAATATATAATTTTAGGCTATTTGTAATAAGTATGTAAAATTGCGGGTTCGATCCCCGGCCCAGACACCGGATTTTCGGGATGCAGAAAATCCTCAGCGGCCATGTCGTATGATTATGCGGCATGTAAAAGATCCCTGGAGTGCCTTATTGGCTCTTGGCATTTCCGGCAAAATTAAATTCCTAGTGCACTTTAGCATCCAAATAGAGTCTCGGTGCTGCCATCTAGTGTGGCAGAAACTAGACGTCCAAATTAACATGACCAACGGTATCTCACCCATTGTGGTGGTCTTGAAAGAGTGGATACCACCTCTGGAGAACGCACTAGGTCTGCTCATCGGCAAGACCGATTGTGCAGCTCATTGGAAATATTAAATATGTTATGAGTAATTTCAAATTATTATTTAAGGGCTGTCAATGCCTGAGAAATACTATTAAGTAAATTGAAAAACTACTTGATTGCCGGTGAAAGTTAAGAGGACGATTATCAGAAACATGTGCCCCTTTCATATTTCTTATCAATCAGATTTTGATGTTTTCAATCCTGTTTTTCCTGAATCTTGGGTGATCAGATTTTAACAGCACTTTCTTTCTTAAATAATAGAGTGGGAGTCTGGTGTTTACTATACATTATGCACAGTAAATCATTAAATATATTAATTTAGATTTTCTATAAATAGATTTAAAATATTTTTTTGTTTTTATTTTAGACCCTTCTGGACCTTGGTTCATCTCCCAATTACAAAGATATGAGAGGACTGACCACACTTTACTATTCCGTCGTCTACAACAGCAATCCACAATTGACGGAGATGTTGCTCCATGACCATGCGATGATTGGTACCGCTGACCCACATGGTTGGCAAGAAGTCCATCAGGTATAGCAAATTCTGCAATTATATATATGGTCCTAGTATATGTATATACGAGGGTTATTTTTTTTCGTAAGCTCCGTTTTGTTGTGTACATCAATAAGTGACGCGTGAGTCGTAACGAGTGCTTGTGTCTTTTCCCGGCATTCCTTGGGAACAACTGTGCTCAGTTGCAGCTGCGTAAGTAAACTGTACAGTCAGTTCTGCGTCTTTAAAATGTTCAAATTAAATGAATCGCTTCCACGCACGATATACGGTCAGTGATGCCTTTTAAGTTGGCTAAAAGCCTGTCTGCGGAATACATTCATTGGCTGATTTGTGAAGTAGTAAAATTCCCTGCCATGCTGACAGGAAATTTTGCTACTCTATGACAATCACTCTCTCTGCAGCTCAGATCCCCATTTTTATTGGACTTTTTTGATTAGGAAGTTTTGGACCACCCCTCCCTACTGTCTAGACCTTGTGCTGAGTGAGGAGTATTCTAAATCTAGTTTTAAGGTATGATAAGTGTTTAAGCAAACTTGGCAACTATGCTGAATAAAAAAGAGAAATGTATGTAGAATCTGGAAATAAATTTGCTTCCTGGAAATTTTCTTTCGTTTGATTCTCATTTCAAACGGCCCTTACTTAAAAAACAANCTCTGCAGCTCAGATCCCCATTTTTATTGGACTTTTTTGATTAGGAAGTTTTGGACCACCCCTCCCTACTGTCTAGACCTTGTGCTGAGTGGGGAGTATTCTAAATCTAGTTGTAAGGTATGATAAGTGTTTAAGCAAACTTGGCAACTACGCTGAAAAAAAAAAAGAGAAATGTATGTAAAATCTGGAAATAAATTTGTTTCTTGAAAATTTTCTTTCGTTTGATTTTTATCTTCAAACGGCCCTTACTTAAAAAACAAACTTCCTTATATATATATATATAATCTAATCATTAGATATTTATGTATTAAAGTTGCAATCTTAACGTTTCAGCGCGTGCACTAATGTGCTTGATAATTATTGCGCACTTTAATCCTAATTACATTATCTAGGTACTTTCCCTGAACAAATGTATACTTTTTTTCTGCGTTTGGATACCGACGAACTTCAATTTGAATTTGGGAAGGGTGTTTGTCACAATCTGGGAAAATATATTACCAATAATTTAATCAGGTCAAATTGGTCGGATATTGGTCGGATACAAGCTCTCCAAAAGAACATTTTTGCATCCTTTTATACGACTTGTGTACCTAAAAAGGATTTCCTTATGAAAAAAAAATATTTGTAACTATTATTGCCATTTTTTTGAAATATTTGATTTTAATATGATAGAACAAATTTGAATTGTTAGGCATAACGAATGTTTTTGTCCTATTTTTTTAAAAATATAGGAATAAAACTTCAATGGTAACACTTCTTCAACGGAAATTAACCAGATGTCTTAATTTTTTTCTTACAATTTATAAAAAATGATTTGAAGACTTAAAAGATGATTTGAGTTAACGTTCACCTCCTCTTTAGACTATAATTCTATATAAATAAAGGAGATGTAAATTCAGGATAAAATATAAGGTGAAATAACTTATGGTACTTCTATTAACTAAACTAACAGGTTAAAAAAATATTTGAACTCTGAAAGCAAGAGAAAAAAAAGAAAAAGAAATTAACAAATAAATAGAAATTCAAAACATGTACTAAGTACAGATATAAACAAACTAGAGTTTCGGCCTTCGAAATTAAAACCTCCCTCAGTGCTAACAATAACTTTCCTCAGTGTTCCTGTTTCGGGAACTGAAACTATATTATGTCCAATTCTTTACTTTATTTTCAATTAATACTCATTTTTACTTCAGTCTACGTAGTACAAATTATGCACTTATCCTCGTTTTGGAGGGGGAAAAAACTTCTTATACTACTTATGCAAGTATATTTAATGTAATTGTGAATTAATATTAGAAAATTTAATACATTTATTTTGAAAGCTTTTGTATTTAAAAAGCAAGTTGAATGCCGTTTCTAAAATACAATTGCATTTTTTAATCGATACTTCCGTTATACGTATATTGCGCAAAAAGAAGCGAACACTAAAAATAATTATTTTTTAAAAGAGAAAGAACACATATTTTTTAAAAAAAATCGAAGCTTGAGTTTTAAAACTTTTACAAAGTTTTAGTTTTAAAAATACTTACAAAACTAAAATTTAGAGCCGGTGAATCTACATTAGATCAAATTGAATGGATCTGAAATTGCCACAGACGTGAAAACTTTTCTGCAGTTTATATTGACTTATATGTCCGATAATTCTCGTTCGAACTTAAGTTTCATTATTGTTTTTGATCCTTTACCTATTTTCTTGTCTTTTTTAGGGCACGGTTATTTGTTTTTGGTTATTTGTTTCTTAATTCCGAAAGTTCCTCCTTCTTGAAAGGTGGGTCATATGAAATCCATGACCAAGTCATAAGTCGATCTTGATGAAAATCACTGACACATTTTTAAATGTGAATATTAAAGACTAGTTAATTTTCACACTAAAAGATGTATCGGTAATTAGATTAATTTAGAAATTTTACACTCATTTTAAAATTTCTCAAATCGGTTTGCTTTTAAATGTGACTTACTTGTCTTCAATTCGCGCATTCCTAATTTGGAATTTAATTGTTTTTTTGCTAATATCAATTGGTAGAATAGTAGAATTTTTTAGGATACTATTTTTGCTCCCACGTCCGCTGCCCTCGTTAGCCGGATTAACCGTTGCCCGGGCGATACCACGTGGAGGTGAGGGTCAGCAAAGATGTTGTTTTGCGGGAGCTTTACGAGTGTCTTCCAGCGAAATAGTTTCCAGAAAGCTGTTCCGCTGGGAATTGAATATCGCATAAATTAATATTATTACACTCGATGGACATCGCCCTGTTNTTTTTTTTTTTTTTTTTTTTTTTTTTTTTTTTTTTTTTAAATGTGGTAAAAGTTGCTTTTGATTACCAACTTATTTTCAATATCAGTAATTTTTTATATCAAAGCCATTTTTAATATAATTTTTAATGTCAAAGTCATTTTCGACGGTCATTTTTAATATCCGTCATTTTTCAAAATCACACCATGGAAATACACATCCTTGATGGAGCTATGCTAGCACTTCCAATCTGATTAGAAGGCTTCAGCTCCTCCCTTTCACCAAAATTACTGGCTTTGGCTACATCAAATTGTTTTTCTCCATCCATATTCACACAACACATTTTCGAATGAGCTATACGAGCACTTCCAATTCTATAAAGAAGTTTTGGCTCCAGCTCATCGCCAAAATCACTACCTTTCTCTCCACCAAGGTTTTTTTCCTCATCTGCATTCAAACAATACATTTTAGAAGGAGCAATGCGTGCACTTCCAATTCTATAAACACATTTTGGCTCCTCCTCTCCATCAAAATCACTATGTTTGACTCCATCAAAACTATTTTCTCCTTCCATATCGGAACAACACAACTCCGAAGGAGGTATGAGTGCACTTCCAATTCTAACACAAAACTCTGATTCTCCTATATCGCCAAAATCACTATTTTTGGCACAATCAAAGTTTCTTCCTCCATCCACATCAAAACAGCACAACTCCGAAGGAGCTATGCGTGCACTTCCAATTCTAACACAAAAATCTGGCTCCTCCTCTCCGCCAATATTACATTTCCTTGCTCCTTTTTTAGGAACACCATTCAATCTCCTGTTATATTAAACGAAAATTCAGTTATTATTATTTTAAAATAAATTCTTCGTACAATAACAGTTTATTTCTGCTGAAATCACAATAGCAATAGATATTTAAATGATTTAAGATATCTCTATTCATTTTCAATATTTAGGGAATGTTTTTAATAGAAAATAATCATATTTACAATTATTTATAACGCAATACGGACATATGTATTTTAAAAACCATATTAATATAGCAACATGCAAATGAATAATACATTAATTTAAATTTCTTTCATAAATAAAAAAGTTTAAACACATATAAAACATTACATGGCATGTTAATCCATTTAAATTATTAAAAGAAATTTTTTTCATGAAAAATTAAAACTGGTGTTTGAACTGTATGTGCAGCGTTATTCAGATTTATGCTTAAAATAAAATATGCCTTTTTTTGTAGTTGATTGAATTGAATGAAGAAAATATATGTTACTTACATTTTTTTACGAATGTATCTGAAAAATCTCGAGAAAAATCTCGCCATAATCAATTAAATTGAAGTGCAAAAGAGCAGTTGAATAAAAATCGCCCAACTCGCTCAATAGCTTTTTACAAAGTGAATTCTTTTCATTGTTACGCATCTTATATATATTTCTTGCATTGTTTAGTTTCTTTAAAATTTTTATTCATTGTTAAGTGTTTGAAACAACAAAGAAAATTTTAATTGTTTAGTTATATATATATATAT